TGTCATTCCAGACTTAGACAAACCACATCTTTTAGTGTTCTCTCTCTCTGTCTCCCCCTCTCTCTCCTCTCTGTCCTCTCTCCCTCTCTCTGTCTCCTCCCTCACCCTCCCTCCTCCCGACCCTGCCCCCCCTCGCCGTCGCCTCTTCGGATTTGGTAATCTTTTCTGTCATTCCAGACTTAGACAAACCACATCTTTTAGTGTTCTCTCTCTCTGTCTCCCCCTCTCTCTCCTCTCTGTCCTCTCTCCCTTTCTCTGTCTCCTCTCTCCCCCCCTCCTCTCTCTCTCCTCCCCCCCCTCCTCTCTCTCCTCTCCTGTCTCCCCCTCTGTCTCCTCTCTCTCCTTTTCTCTCTCTCTCCTCTCTCTCTGTCTCCCCCTCTCTCTCCTCTGTCTGTCCTCTCTCTCCCTTTCTGTCTCTCTCCTCTTTGTCCCTTTCTCTCTGTCTCCTCTCTCCTCTCCTCTCTCTTCTCTCTCTGTCTCTCCCTCTCTCTCCTCTCTCCCCCCCTCTCCCCCCCCCTCTCTCACCATCATTCTGTCTGTGTCTCTCTCTGTCTCCATCTCTCTCTTGACTAAGAGAAAACCCAGTTCTCACAACCCCTGCAGTCTGGGCGTCTGTCCGTCTCCCTCAGACGCAGACAAAATGATTCCTTAGATTAGTCTCCATTCTGTCTCTGAGTTGCTCAGAGAGAGAGAAAAACAGACGTTACGATGTTCTCTCGCCTCGCTGTCTGTCTCTCTGTCTCTCTCTGTGTCTCTGTCTCTCTCTCTCTCTGCAGAAATAGACAAAACCACTGCTTAGCCCATTTTCTCTTGATTTCTGTGAGACAGAGAAAATGACCTTTTCCAGGCGCTCCCTCTCTCTCCCTCTCTCTCCCTCTCTCTCCCTGTCTCTCTCCCTCTCTCTCCCTGTCTCTCCCTCTCTCTCTACCTCTCTCCCTCTCTCTCCGTGTCTCTCTCCCTCTCTCCCTCTCTCCCTCTCTCTCCCTGTCTCTCCCCCTCTCTCTCCCCCCTCTCTCCCTGTCTCTCTCTGTCCCTGTCTCTTCCTGTCTCTCTCTCCCTCTCTCTGTCTCCCTGTCTGCTTCTATTTGCGTGTCTTTCTGTGTCTATTTATCCCTCTCTGTCTCTGTGTTTGAAAGAAAACCACTCCTTACAGCATCTCTCTGTGTCTCTGTGTCTCTCTGCCTCTCTCTGTCCACCTCTCTGGCTGCATGTCTCTCATTCTCTCTGCCTGTCTCTGTCTGTCTGTCTCTGCCTCTCTCCATCTGTCTTTTTCTTTCTCTCTCTCTATCTCTATCTCTCTCTGTCTCTGTCTCTCTCCACCTATCTGTCTGTCTCTCTCTGTCTCTCTGTCTCTCTTTCTGTCTGTGTCTCTTTCTGTCTCTCTCCATCTATCTCTCTGTCTCTCTGTGTCTCTCACTCTGTATCTCTATGTCTCTTTCTGTCTCTGTCTCTCTCCACCTATCTCTCTGTCTGTCTTTCTGTCTCTGTCTCTATCTCTCTGTCTTTCTGACTGTCTCTCTGTCTCTCTATCTCTGTTTCTGTCTATGTCTCTGTCTCTCCATCTATCTTTATCTCTCTGTCTCTCTGACTGTGTCTCTCTCTGTCTCTCTGTCTCTGTCTGTCTCTGTCTCCCTGTCTCTTTGTGTCTCTCCTGTCTCCCTATGTCTCTCTCTCCATCTCTGTCTCACTCTCTCGCTCTGTCTCTCTCAGACACAGAGACATCCCCCCTTCATTGTAAGGGACTAAGTACCGATTGGCAGACTCACAAACAATGAAATACCAAATTCCTGCTTCTTGGTTGGACAGAAGCACGGACACCCCTCCACCCCCACCCCTGGGACCGGTCGAGACTAGTTTAGATGACGCAAAGGCCACACAGGGACAGATCCTTGGCGCCGTGAGGGGGACGTGCTGGGTGCTGCCTTCTTTGATGAACGGGAGAAACGGGCCCGGGGAGGGGACCCTACGACCAGTGCTGGGGTCTGGGGTTCAGCTTCTCGGTCCTCTGTCTACACGTGTGACTGCGGTGTCGTGTTGGATCTGCACCCTTTACACAGCTTCTAATCTGCTGTTGCTTTTTTTCCCTGAATCTGACAGTTTCCCCCGCACCTTTTAGTTCTTTAACTGGCACAGAAAAAGATTAAGAGCAAAGTCCTTAGAAATCACAACATTATTACATTCAGTCTGTCTCTCCCTCGCTCTCTCTCTCTCTCCACCCCCAGTCTCATTTCCTCAGACTCAGAAAAAACTACATTTGATAACATTTTCTGTCATTCCAGACTTAGAGAAAACCACCTCTTTTTTAAAAAATTCTATTTCTCTCTCTCTCTCTCTCTCTCTCTCTCTCTCTC